CAATTTCACAACAGCAGAACGGTCACATAAACTTAAACTAAAAGCTGGGGAGTTAATTGAAAATAACTCAAAGTTAGAATCGCTAACATATTTTTTGGCTAGCTCGGAATAAGGTGTTTCTGATGCTTTACTGGCAGCAACTACCAGCTCAGTGATTTCGTTTGCAGCAGATGTTCTGCCAGATGACTTCATGTTTGGCGCTCCGGATGCTCCTGAAAGCACAGTCCAAGAATGCTCAATTTCTTGAAGATAGGAAAAAGACACTTTATACCCCGAAAGAATTATAGTTGAAGCATCATAAGAATAAAAAATATTCAAAAAATGTTGTTCTGCTGATTATTTTGGTTAAAAGAAAAGTTTGATCTGGACAAAAAAAAATTGGAAAATTTCTCGTCATATTTTCATACTCTTTCTTTTAATTGAAAGACAACAAAAAATATTTTGTATGTTCTAACAGGAAATTCGGGTTAACCAATGGTTTATTTGAACCAAGTAACCAGACTGACTGATTAAATGAACCGAGCCGAAACGACACAGAAAATTTCTGAAGTCCCGCCCTTACTTCTGAAACCCAAAACGGGAGTTGATGTTCTGTGTTAAAACTTGATCTTGAACGTTTAGGCTTCCTTTTAACTTTTTTATGAAGATCCAAAAGAAGAAGAAGCTCATTGAAGTTGTTTACTAAATTTTACTATTCAAAGTGAAAGGAATTGTTTTCAATGATTTTTTCTAAAACATAATTAGGCTATGTCAATAAAACGCAGATGAGGTCGCGTGATATGTCATTTTCAGTTTGTTTCTTTATTAATCTGAGAAGCTTCTTATAAAACTACCGAAATTCGTCCAATGTTTCTTAAAAACTGATATCAAGCTTTTTTCCATTAGTTGGTGTCTGCTGAGTATGTCCAACTCTCAAACTTTTATGTAGAGGTCATTTTTATCTTCTATAAATCGAAAAAAAAGCTTTTTTTTATTATGCAGTCTTTCAGCTAGTCGTCTCTAGTCTTGGATTATTATAATCGTTTTACACTTTTTTAAACATGATGCTTTCAAGAAAACTAAGAAAATAGGGTGGAACAAAGGATCTGCTTTTTAATATGTTTTTTTTTGTGAAGTTAAAACTGTTGTCGAATCATTCTGTCTTTTCTTTTGTGTAATTATCGAACCGTTGGTTTTGCTGTTTTTTTTTTTCTCATAGAAACCTTAAGTGACAAAACTACACTTAGAAAAGACAAAGCCTTGATTGTTTTCATTGCCCTTTAGCATTGTGAAAAACTATAGGAAATATATTTTTTTCACTCTTTCTCCATAGGCATGTAAAACCAAAGAAATACCAGCATCCAGTTTCAAGCGTTAAAAATCGATTATATTACGATTTTAGTACCAGTCTCACTATAATTGAGAAACAATCAATTTTAATCAATTAATAATCGATTATAATCTCTTTTTTTAAATTCAAATTATAATTAATTGTAATCCATTATAATCGATTATAATCAATTATTTATTCGTCTATTTTTTGATACAATTATAATCGATTATAATTGATTATAATCCATTATTTTATTCAAATTTCTACTTTATTAGTTTTGCACAAAAATCCATTATAGTTGATTATAATTGATTATAATCCCTTTTGTTTGTCCATTGTTGTCTTCGAAGTTGCATCTAAATTGCTTATATTTTATGCTTTTTGTGTACGTTGGTTCCTATGAAAAATGAGAAAAATGTTTTTAAAGTTTCCCCATTAATTCAAATTTATAAGTTTTTTTTTCATTTCTTCCCCATTAGAGTTGTTTTTTTAAAGCTTTTTTAAACACCAAAACATCAGCAGATTGATTTAGTTTCATGATTGATTCGGATAATTTATTTTTCATCTACCGCGAGAACCTTTCCACTCATATGAAAGGATCTCTATGAAACTTTTGTTTCGTGGTATAACTTTGCGTTCAGATGAACCAAAGTGTTCAAGAGATCTCTCGTTTAGAGATTTTCTTATTGATACAAAAAAATAACCCAGTAGATATATTTCGAATATAAAAAAATTTCGGCAAAATAAGAGATTATAATCGATTATAATCGATTATAATTGATTTTAAGGGTTTTTAGTAAGAACTATAATCAATTATAATCAATTATAATCTATTATAAGATATAATAATCTCTTGGAAAATATCACGATTATAATCCATTATAAATCCCTTAAAGACCTAATTTTGGTAATTATAATCGATTATAATTGTCAAAAAATCATCATAATAATCCGTTATAATCGATTATTTACGCCTAAACTTGGATGCGGGTAGGTCGCTTCTAGAACTGCCCGATTCGGAAGAATGAGTCAATGCAATTGAGGTTCTCGAGTGTGAGGACGACTACCTGTCATCTGCGCTACGCCTCGACTTATAAAATACACGCAATAATTATCCGAACTTGGCCACGTGACAGATTTCAGACTCTAAAACTGTAAAATTTAAAAAGATTTTAGCCAAAATTTTTATTGATTATGATGTTCAGGTAGAAAAAAAATCCAGAAATCTTATACATTAAATGAAAGTCGGAATGCGCTATGGAAGTAATGTTTAATTGAACGCTATGTTTCAGCTTTGTCAAATGCAACGTTTAAAAAATTTCTTACACTTAACTTTTGAGAATGCCAAGAATATTCTAGAACTGTCAAGCTTCCTTAGGTCGAGAAAACTCTAAATATTTTTGACAAAAATTCAATTCTTTAGACAAGATGAACTCAATTCATTTTCAAGGCCAGACAGTACCTGTCCATTCTTTCCAAAATTTTACTTTTTCAGATCAATCATTCTGAAACGAACAAACAAACGGAAAACAGCAAATTCCTTGGTAGAAAAACAACCTTTTTGCAAACCGAATTACGCTGAGAAATAACAAGGAATTTTTCAAAGTTTCATGGCCCGAATAGCTTGCTTAGAAAAATTGAAACGTCTAGCCTCTCGATTTGCTGTATGAAACAACTTGACATGTTTCATAGTTTCATCTCATGACTAGCGTTCTAAGAAAAACTTTAACTTTTTGCCAACCAATTCGGTCAATGAAATAAATTCAAAATTTTCAGAAGTTGAATCGCTTGCTGAGAAAAGCTTAAGTTTTTCACAAAACGATTCGGTCTATGAAATAGCTTGAAATATTTCTTGAAAGTTTGAAAGTAAATAGCTTGAAAGTTTGAGAGCTGGAATAGCTTACTTAGAAAACTTTGATTTTTTTTTGCGAACCAATTTGGTCTATGAAATGACTTCAATTGATTGAAATTTTGTAACTTGAAGAGCTTGCTTCGAATAACTTAAGTTTCTGTCTATAAATCAACTTGAGTATTTCGAGTTTTTTGAGCTTGTCTCGCTTTACTACAAAAATTTATTTTTTCGCGAACCGATTTGGTCTGAGAGGTAACTTAAAAACTCAGTTTCAGAGCTGGAATAGCTTGTTTACAAAAACATAAAATTTTTGCAATTCGATTCGGTCTTATAAACAATCTGACATTAATCAAGTTTTCATAACTAGAGTAGCTTGCTTAGAAAAACTTAAAATTTTCGCGAACCGATTTGGTCTATGGATTAACTTGTTAACTACTAATTCTTGTCACGAATTTCTGAATGATCACTTGAAAGGAAAACAATTTTGAAAAGAAGCTTTACACGAATCTGTTTTAAGCGGTGGAGTCGCTTTTTGAAACTTTCCCTAACAGAAGTCCCTAACCTTGGCCTGTGTAGGAACTACATACATACATCAAATTGTTTACCGTGAAACCTACTATAGATTACGAAACCTGTATGACGGTCGAACACAGTCGAAGTTTTTTTTGTCGAAAAAACTTCTGGGATCGATAATTCAGTCGAAACGTTGGGTCTTATGCGTTAAACGGCCCAAAATTAGGAAAATAGTCAGAAATTTTATTTCAAATTGAAAACACGTAATCAACATACAATTACTTCAGTTATTACATATTATACGAGCCAATCAGATTAATCTCAGTATCAATCGAAATGGCTGACCTAGTTGCTCGAATTTGATTGGCTAATATTAGCCAATCAGGATCAGTTTCAGTTTTAATTTTCATTTTGCTTCGATTTTGATTTTTGGGCCGTTTAACGCATAAGACCCGAAACGTTTTCCCCTTCAGTCGAACGGTGGGTGTTCACAAGTACCAAAACGATAAATCAGTCCCATTTTTACCAAAATAAAAAATCAATCGCGTTAGTACCAAAAATATTCAATTGGTCTAAGACTATTAAGCCAACTACTTTAAGCTCTTGGTTTAAGGTCGCCGGTGGGACCTTAACCGGCTCTAATTTTCGTATAGAGTCCTACCCTCTGTTGGCAAACTCGCAACACCTTGGCGCGACTGCGGCGGTCACTATTCTGCTGTTTAGTTTTCTTCTGTTTGAACAGTAGAAAGTTAATGTAATAATTCGTTGGCTCACAATTCGACCAATCAGAAATCGAGTTGAATAATTTTGGTACAAACGACCGTTGGTACAAATGGGACGTCACCGGTCGAACACAGTCGAAATAATTTTCTCCGTCGAAAAAACTCGGTCGAACTTAGTCGACATGTTTTTACCCGGTCAAACTTGGTCGAATGTTCTTCCTCAACCGAACATAGTCGAAATATCAACATCTTGGGTCAAGTCCGTCAAAAGATCGAGCCTGTGTCGAGTCGGTTGAAACATACCAAATTATGTCGAGTCGGTCAAAACATAAATCACTTACTCATACCAGGTTTGTGTGCTTTTGCTTTGCCAACAAAAAAGGTGGTCGGGATGCTTGTTACGGGTTGCTGTAATTTGTCCATCTGTGGTACGCGCTTCCAGTTGTTTTGTCACACGAAGTGGTACGATAGTTACGAGATTGCTACGCGTATTTTTCAGCCAATAATATGGCTGTATTTTTGCTACGCACAAAAATGTGTTCTACGAGCTCTTTTATTGCTTCAAATTTATTGTGACCTAAAATTAATCTTTCTCATTCACTCTCTAATTGAAAACGCAGCAGAAACAGTCGTGAATATTGGTTTGATAAGAAACAGAATTTGTTTGAGCTAGCCTTTAAAAAACTTAATTCGAAATGAGCGATCGAAAAGCTGTGATCAAAAATGCCGATATGGCCGAAGACATGCAACAAGACTCGATCGAATGTGCAACTCAAGCCATGGAGAAGTTCAACATTGAGAAGGACATTGCCGCTTACATCAAGAAGGAATTCGACAAAAAATACAACCCCACTTGGCATTGTATTGTCGGTAGAAACTTCGGTAGCTACGTCACGCACGAGACGAAACATTTCATCTACTTCTATTTGGGACAAGTTGCAATTCTGCTGTTCAAATCGGGATGAAGAACGATAATTCGAATATAAGCAAAATTGGACAGTGATTGTAGCTATTTATGGACTTCGATTTACTTTCCATTAGCAATTTGTTTGATGTGATTGTGTAATTTATTTTGATTTGAATATGATTCAGCTTTGATAGTCTTTCAATCGTAAAAACACACCTTTTCGAATTTATAATTCCAAATAGATATATTTTTGAAAATGACGTCTTTTCTGTTATACACTGAACGAATATAATATGGCACGTTTTTCCCAATTGCACAGTTCGGCCCTCCCAAATTGGGTCTTTTAACGCTCCCCCCCCCCCCCCCCCCTAAGGTACCTAGAAACGAATTGCCATCCTTATAGAGAAACAATTCAATAAGCATGTGTGAAATTTGTACCTAATAACGAATCTCCACGCTCTGGAAAAGGGGGAAGAAGAAAGAATCCCTAGAATTTGATGTCGCATTTCACCCTCGCACATTTCGCACTATTAGTTTATGATAAGTCCAGCAATAGTGTGGGGTAACAAGTGCGAGGAGCGAAATTTGCGTACGAATTTGAAGAGGGGCAAAATGATTGGGTGAAGATAATACCCTAAACAATTACCACTACAAAAAAAAGCTGAATAATCACTAGAACAAGACCGCTCTATCATGGAAAGATTCCGAATGTTCCGACTGCCTATGGAGTATTGTTCGCTGTAACAAAAATTGATGAAGCTTCGATAAAAAAGAAAACTTATACTTTTTAAAGATATCCCCTACATGATTTGAAATATAAAAAGTGACACTTTCGATTTAAGGAAAACGACAAGTGTTGTTTTTATCAGTCGTTATTGTATAATTATTAAGTTTAGCGCCATGAAAGGTTATTGAAGATGATTCTTCAAAATATTTTGTCAGTAAATGAAAAATTAAATTTACTGCTGTTAGTATCCTAAATACAAAAATTTGATCTCGTTTTTGTCGTACAATCATGAAATCGATTGGAAGATTTCTTCCTGGTCGTATTTCGTCTCTTGTTCGAGGTCTTCTTCCAATACCGGGTAGTTCTCGTATTGTTCGGAATATTGGGTCTGATCTATTGAGGCGTAGAGACATATCTACTAAGTTTTTGTCATATAACATTTTTGAATGTTGTATTTGTCTAATTCTAATCTAATTTTTGTATAAGTCTAGGTTAGTTAAATTCTGTTCGAGACTTTTGGTCGAACCAGATGAGTTATATCCTTTTGGTAATACTCATAGAGTAATTTCAGATAAGGTAAACCGTCTGCTCGTCACGCTATCTTAATTTCGGCCGGATAGATTCGTGCAATTTCTTAGTCTAATACCAATCTTAGTCTTACTCTTATATCTCCTAGTCTCAATAGATCTAGTGTACACCAGTTCATGCGAGTTAGTTCCAGAATGAGAACAACTGTATTCTAAGTTTAGTTCAAACTGTTCTGGTGTTGAAACTACAAGTAGTTTCAACAATTACAAATAAGTGGGTTGTTAGTTTGATGTAGTATGATTGGCTAGTATTTAAAACATTATAGAGCTAAAATATCATAATAATATTTAATGATAAATACTAGTTAAGATCTGTTTCCACCCATCCAGGGCTTAGAGAGTTTTACTTTTTCAATGTTCTATTGTAGTGAAGGATGGATGATGGTGTTTTTCTTTAGATGTTGCGAGCATATTCTTTTTTCTGGTTTGGAAGAAGAGATGTTATCACAATAGTTTCGGGAGATCGTATTATGATTTCTGACCGGTTGTGATGAGTGTTGATCTGGTTGAGTTTAGATAATAGCAATGGTCCAATCCCATTCGGGAATGTCATGTAATTTGACTTTGGATACAGTGCTTGGTGACTTGGAACTGTACGTAAACTCGAACATCGAGATGGCCATTGTTCGGTTGCAATGGGTTTCCTTTGCTGCGATGCGAAGTTATAAATTAAATCCGTTGAGTGTAGTGACTATAAGTAGCATGTCAGGTGTGTCTTGCCATTCCGTAGTTGGAGTGTGATTGGGTTGTCAAGTTCCCTGCTGCTCGTCTTTGGGCTGTATATTATCTATATACTGCATTGTATTATTTACATTTATAAATCTTTGTTAATCTTGTTTTTAGTCATGATCTTGTATTAGTTTTTATCGCAAAAGCGTTATTATTTAGTTCGGTTATTTTTAGGAGCTACTCACACTTGAGTAACTCTCGTAAAAAATAGAGTTGTGGGTGTCACAAAGCGTGGATGTAGCACGGTGGTAGAGGCTGGCTATAGAGCTTGCTCAGGACGTTCTCTCTGGTGGGTTAGGCCAGGAGTGGGGGTATAATTTCATGCTCTTTTTTAGAGGGTCCTGTTTCAGTTCAATCTTTCGTGCTTTTTTTATTCCTGGTTTTTTCTTTTGTTGTCTTAGTTATGTTTTTTTCTCAAAAATCAAATTATTTATTTTGGGTTTGTCTTTCGAGTTTTTGATGTTTTGTCCTTTTGTGTTCAGACTTAAAAGTAGTCTTCAAAAGAATAATTTATCCAGTTATAAGCTGGTGTTAATACAATTTGGGTACCGTGGGTTTTCTTTTCTTAGTCATGCTGTTAGATTGTGGTTTGTGGTGTTTAGCAAGCTTGCGTTGGTTAGGTTGGATTATTATATAATTCCTTTCCAACCGGGTTAAAGGAAAATTTGAAACGTGTTAAAACTGGTTAGAGTTGTTATCAGTGAAAGTTAAAACTTAAATTCATTATTTTTAACAATTCTTCGTGGGCGAGCTGTGCAATTGTGGATAAAATTTGAGGGCGAACGAATATTTAAAAAATAAAGAAGCGTCTTTGAAAAGGTTTGTACTGCTTTTTCATTTTCATTGGCAATTTTTATTAATTTACTTTTTTGAATTTATGAAGTTCACTGCTTGATTTGGGGGTTTAAATTATCATTTTATTTTCAGCTGTAAGAATGTTAACTGCATTGGGGAAAAGAATTTATATATCAATTTATTGCTTTGTACGGGAGAGTTTTACTGCTTCAATTATTGAAACTGGTTAATAGAAGATTATGAAATTTTAAAAAGTTTTCTGTTTTTATTTCGCTTTTTTATTTTGTAGATGATAGATGATTGTGGCTATGAAGAAAAAAGAAAACATTTAATAAGAATGGTTAGTTTTTGTTCGGATTTATTATTGAATTATTTAATTTAAATTACCTAATCTTCGTGGGTGATGTCGTGGGTGATGTCGTCGAAAAACGTCGTGGGTGATGTCTGAAGAGGTTAGTAATTCAGCTAGCAAACGAATTATGTATTTAGTTTGTAGAAGTGGCGAAGCAATTCGAGTGTTTTATTGATGTTGTGCTCTTCAGTGCTAGGTGAGAGTTCATATGGTGGGTTTTGAATAAGGTTATAAAGTTTATGATTATATCGAGTGTTATATATGAATTCTAGGATTGGGACTTCAACGGGCTGAAGGAATTCGTGTGGGACTATTAGTGGGCGGGATTCATGTACGTTGAAGAGTTTAGTTAGGGGACAGAATATATAAATCTGGGTGATGGGATCGTAATTGCGGAGGATGCCTTGTAGGTTAGTGTCTTTAATACAATAGGTGAACTTAAGAAAAAATGGCGAGGTGTTATTAGAGTTAATGTATTGATATCTATGGTGAAGTTGTCGTGCTGGTGCATTATGAGTGTCATGATGTTGGATGAACTGGTAGTAAGTGTAAGTGTGCATTTGTATAGTTCGTAACTGGGTCGTTGTTTAGAAAGATGTCTTCGTTAGGTCGTATGATATTATGATCGTAATAATCGATAGAATATTCATTAGTTTTGGGTGCGGTGAATTTGATTAATGATTGTCTGTATCCTATCTGTGTGAACTGTTTTGGTGTTAGTGCTGTTGTTAGAAGATAGAATTGGGTGCTGCATACTTCGTTGTCATGAGGGGTGTTATATAGTGGTAGTGATAGTGGATTAGTAAAGTGATAGAATGATGTCCATGAAAGTGTAGGGTATAATACGTGCTCGTTTATATAATTAGGTTTTTCGTCATTGGGGTCTGAATGGAAGTATGTGTATTGTGGGAAAAAGGTTAGACATATTTGGAGAAATTCTTAGGTGTTAGTGTGAAGTGGTTGATTGATAATTGTTTTGGAAGTTCTTGGGTTAGATGGGAATGGAGTATTTGAAAATTTTCTTCTAAAGGTTGGGTAGACTCGAGTTGTACTGGAGGATAGGATTGATGAGGAAGTCGGGTTTTGTGAAGGGGTATAATGTGAAGAGGGGGTTGGGATTGATGGGTTGGATGATATCATAGATTGTGAGAGTTGGTGAATCGTTAGTGTTTGAGGGTGCTTTAATTGTTGTTGAAATGTGATGAAGTTATCAAGCTAGTGAGATGGTTGTGTTTTTACAGAGCTATTGTTATTGGATGGTTCACTGGTTAAGGGGGAATATGTTAGTGTTACATTTGAAATGGAAGAGGGAGGAGAAGGGGGTTCAGTTTTGACTTGGGTATGAGTAGGCTGAAAGGGAGGTTAGGAAAAGGTAGATGGGCTGGGTTCGGAGTTGGCAAATTCGTCGGGGGTTTCAATATCGGAGTTACAAATTCGGAGGTAGTGTTATATACAGTTGTGTTTGAATTAGTGTCTGATTCCCTGCTGAATAAAGTGTTATCATGAGGTGATTGAGGTGGAAGCAAAGCAAAAAGCGGGATGATGGGGAGGTTGCTCTGGAGGTTGGCTGGGTAGGAAATTGAACGCTGGAGTGCTCCAACTTGACGGCTCATCGTGGGCTAAAAAGATGGCTGTTCTGAGAACGAAAGTTAGTGGTATGTGGTTGTTCTATAATTTGTTTGTATTTGTCTTCTATATTGGGTTGTTGGGTTGTTATGTGTTGAATTGGACTTTGTGGATAATTAGATCTCGAAGTTATGAGGTCTGTTAGGGCTATATTTCTGAAATTTCGTAGTACTAATGATATGGGATGGTTATGATTTAGTCTTTGTAGTTGTGGTGCTGTAGGCGTTGTATTTGTAATATTTTGTGAATTCTCATATGTGTTCGGTGTTGTTGATAGCATGGTATTGTATTCTTTTGTTTGAGCGTCCAAAAGTATTTTATTTATTGATGTAGAAACTAGTCCAAAAAATCCTGCAAAAAGTAT